AAGTGTTTAAATTCATGAGTCATGAATCTGAATTTGCAAATTATGTATTATATATTCAATGCCTTACAGGGGTATCTATTTAGTAAGTGTTATTTACTCAGAGATGAAAGTATGTACTGTTGAAGATTACCTTCCGGTTATTCTTATTGATCAAACGCAATTTTGTATCGAGAAAGTAAGTTTGAATTTTAATTTTTTGAATGCCGTCAAAGTCTCAGATTTGTTTGACAATTATAAAAAAGGAATAAGTTTGAAACTGCAAGTGTTTTCCAACTAAAGCTATTCTTTTTTAGGATGAAATGTACTGGGCAATTAAGCTCTCATTAGCCTGGGATGAAATGCAGACTTTACAGGAAGCAAACAATTCAAATTCATCAAATTCTCATTTTCGTAGTAAATTTATCGATGCTGCAATTGAAATGCATATGGCTCTCGGGGTAAAAGATATCGGAAGGTAATTATTTGCATATAAATTAAAATGTGAAAATTTTTTGCAAATTGACTTGTATATTGTAATTGTGGAAGATTGCATATGTCTCATTTTTTCAGAGTGCATTATCAGCCAATTGTAGACGAAATAAATTCGATTTCATTTATTGTTACAGTTCGTTTTGTAAACGGACCACCACCCACTCAGGTATCTTTGTATTCTTTTTAATCTAGAATTAATTATTTCTCCTTCCTTCCGAACTTTTCCAGATTTCCACACTGTAGTTTAACCTTCAATAGAATTATTTATTTTTATTTCTTGCTGAAGAAATAAATAGAAAATATATGAATCATTCACTGAAACACTTTACGAATAGTATTAGCAAGATTGCATAAGAGACCCACATGCATTGGCATTGTGATACCACCCTTTAATCACTCCTCGTAATCTTTTAATCTTGTTTAATAGATTATTGATTCATTGATCATTTTGTTATAAATAATTTATTTAAAACTTTTAGAGCATATGTCTCATCATATCGCGCTTTTATCTTCTCTCTTTGTCCACTCTGCAATGAGGCGTTTGGGTCGGATTTTGTCCATTAATAAATGCTTGAATGTATATTCATATTTGATGTACTGCATGAGGAATTTTAATCAGAAATGAAGAAATTTATAGGGTCTGACAACACGATGGCTGCCTCTAAACAAAATAGTTCGCAAACGAGGAGCTTGTCAGGCGATGGATGTGTTGTGGGCAGAAATTTTTAGGATCATCAATTTTTTCGAGTCCTCACACATGCGATTACAAAAAGGATTGTACATATGTTACATGAAACTATATTCATCCATTAATTCCATAAGCGTCGTCGTTCCTCAAAATATACCATCTATTCTTCCATATGCTTTAATAAGATAACTTTTTTTTTCATTTATTATATTTCTCTCCTGCTGATTAGTCATCTCTTCATTCCAGCAGCTTTAAATCTAGTCTTGATTTTCTGCTTTTTAAAGTTTCGTATCTGCTGATTCACTCATTTCTTCAGTATCACTGGAGGATACTTCCAGTAACGCTTGAACTGGAAGAAATAGAAGAAAACAAATTGATTATTTATAGATTTTCAAACATTAGAGATTTTTGAAAAAATTTGCTGTGCTGTCGGTTTTATAAGATTTAAGCCTTATGGAGTACATTTATAAACAAAAAAGTGTCAAATGGAAAGTTGGTTTGGATGTTATGTTGGGGATAATTTTTGACTGGTTCATTGAGCATTGAATATGACAATATGAGAATTTTAAAATTTTGAATGATAGCTAATTATCTCCTTGACTTGGAACCCTTCTTAAAATAAAAAAATAAAAAATACTTAAAATAAAAAAAGAAAAAACTGAGATTGCTTTCCCTTTGTCTTCCTGCACATCTTTTATTTTCATGGATGAAATTTTCAAGTTTGGAAATTGTTGACACAGCGTTTAGTTCCGTTTAAAGGATAACAATGTTATTCAAAGGTCAAAGACCTCAAAGATGTTCGACTTCATTGTAAAAGGATTTTAAATGCAAAGATAACTGGTTTATTTCCCTAATTAATACAATGTGACAAATGTTTGAAATTGGACTGCTTACCGCTTGGTTCATATACTATCAAAACAATTTTGCAGAGATAATCCACATATAACAAAAGAAGAATGGGACTTGTTACGATCCGTGGATATTAGCGCTTCAAATCCACCAACGCCAGTGCAATTTACTTTTCACACTGCCCTTGTTAGTGCAGTATCTCGTTTACTTAACGATCTCGAGATTGACATTGATCTCATACCAAATCAGCGCATCTATCGTTTGAAAGTTTTTCAATTACAGTTTGGTGTTTCCTTCATAATTGTAAGTTATTTCTAATTTTGACTTGCCAGAAGAATTCATCCCGTTCCTACGATATATTTACCAAGTTTTAACATTGGTGATTTCACTGCCACAAATACTTTTTATCCAAAAGTTTTATAAGGTTACAACGAGTCAACTTTGCTCTGGTCTATTAGTCCAAACTTCATATTTGTTCGATGCTAAGACTCTCGCAATCTTCATTTCCTGAGAGAATCAGTGACCATTAAACAACTTAAAAACATTATCCTATTATTGTGTCACATTTCACTCTTTTGTAACACTCTCGAAATAGCATTTCAATTCTCAAAAAACTGTGACCATTTATAGAATTTTTTTATAAATAAATTAGTATAAGGATTAAATACTTCATTTGAAACGAATTCTTTGTAGCTTTTACCAAAAATTGAAGATGTCTGTACCGTGCCAAGTTATTCTTCATTTAAATCGTCTTCCGTACAGAAAGGTTGCTTCACACTTCCACTCCAAGTTTTTGAAGCAAGTAAGTGTATCATATTTTATGATTTTTCAATTAGCGAATCCGAATTCATTCTTTCCTTATGTTAATAGAAGTCGAAAATTCGTCTGACAAACTATAAAATGTCAGATTTGCAAGGTTATTCAAATTTATAAGTTTTGCTTAAATTTTATTGGTTCAGTCTTACCAACTGTGGCGACTTATACAACTTGAATTCTTGGGCCATATGGTTTTTTAAAATATGGTCTGCATTTATTGTAGAATTCCTTAGGATATATCTATGGAAATATGATAAAAATTTCAGTTCATCTATGTGCATACAATCCGGACTTCATCGGTACCTATTGTCGACTCTCACTTTTCATCGAACATTTCTCAACGGTAAATATAGAATGTTTTAGAGACTACATATTGCTCTCGGTCCGCTTCTTTCATAATGATTCAATAAAGCTTACTTTTAGTACATACAATATGAACAAAGAAATAGCCTGCTAGAGAATGATTTTAATGTTTACGCTGATGTACTTTCAAAGCTCGACGAATTTCAAAAAAGGTATAGCTTTTGATTTGAAAGAAAAGAGAGAGAAGTTGATTCTTTTATGAAATCTTTACTACTTTTGTTCGGCTAGAATGTTCCGACTTTGCATCTCAGATTAGAAAACGTTTGGAAATCAGTGAGATGGGTTGGTGATGTCGCTTCTATTGCACGAGACAAACAAGCCAAAGGTATAGTACCAATGGAACGTTTGTTTGCAATGAGCAGTGAGATAAATGGAAGAGACTGCGGCCGTAAACAAGCAACGAAAAGTGTGAGTAATGCCTTCTCCTTTATTCTCGTTGAGAACACTTAAAGATACGATGGTACATTATTGACAGCTAAATACAAAGATTCATATGTTTTGACCATTAATATTAAAGCCACTTTGTAAACTGCAGGGTCCAATGGATTCAAGTGTATTATGTCTTAATCTTTGTAATACGCAATCACAAAACATCAACCGACCGACTGAAACTTGGCGCGACAACTACTTTCAACCAAAAAAGATTCCAACTACAAGAGTGATTAAAGTTTATGCCGCTTATCAGTGTGGCCTTACTTGTGACACTTCAGTCCGCCTTCAGATAGCATCAGCAACCACAGCCAGCGAAATTGTCGCTTTGGTCATTGAACAATTAGCCAAAGCAGCAGCAAAATCCGGGAAGTCGATTGAATCCAAAGACCCAGAAGATTTTTGCTTGACGGTAGTTGTTGGTTCCAGAGAGCGTAGGCTACGGGACGATTTCCCACCCATGAAATTGCAGAATCCTTGGGATGACGGCCGTCTATTTGTAAGGCGTCGCGACAGTGTCTTGGCAGCTTTGCAAAAGGGTAACGAAGCAGCTGTTTGAAGAAAAACACGACTTGTTATTGTGCGATCAAGTCAATGTGCTTGTTGATCATTTTATGTATTATAAATACACCGCTCAGCGTTAGACAGTTACATTTATATACTCAGTTAAAGAGAAGTGCATGATGTCGGAAATCCGAAATTAGTCCCTAACTATAATCAAGTAACTGTACTCCTTTTAAAGAATTGTATAATTAGATGATTGACAATTTGCTAAGGATTTGATTTACCTTCTGTGAGAAATGTAAATGAGCTTTACATTGTTCTTTGTTAGTAACTAGCAAATTTTCAATATAAAAATTATTTTACCCGGATGTTCATTTACACACTTCTTTCTAATGATTCACCTTAACTTTCTCAATATAAAGGAAATGCCATACCTTAACATTTTCCTCTGTTTACGTCATTCCTCGCCATAACGTATTTTGTAGCTAATCTAATTGTATCATAACACGCCCATTAATTCACACCCTGTTTAAGCATTTAAATATTCCAAATTTTGAACAAGGAAGATTGTTAATTCTGATAGCTTTGCACACTGTTCCATCAGTTATTTCGTTAATATATCAGTTATTTCGTTAATATATCTATTCGATCCAATAAACTACATCAATTAGCGTAGTCACCACATCAAGGTCAACAGAGTCTGGAACAAGTATTCTAGACCAAGACCTAAATAACGAATCCAAGCCTAATCCATCAGATCGTAATCTAATAGAATGATCAACTCTCACCTCAAGGAAATACAATCTTGTAACCCAAAATCAACCCAAAATTAAAACCAATAATTAAGAAACCTTCACTAACGGATTCGATTGTGCCACATAGCCACAAAGTTCTCCCAAATCAAACCAAACCAATAATCCTCCTCAGAACACACAAACTTTCTCAATACATATTGAAAATGTAACCGAGTCAAAAGCAATATATATGCTTTATGGATATGAGCGCGCTATCCCAAGAAAAACGAAAATTAGACTGGCGCTACTGAAATAATTATAATTGAAACATTGAAAAAAGGAAAGCATTAAATGGAAAAATAGTGATACAGCAATATCGCAGAAAGGAACTGAATATGGCGGAAAAGCTATACAACAAAACGAAATCTAACAAAATGAAATAGTAATGACAATCAGTCATTCAATAACATCATAGTGAAACATTACTTTTTGTAAATTCAATCAGGTATTTAGAGTGACAAGAGAAAAGATAAGAATACACTACAATCAAAACAACTGCTGCCTTTCAAAAATTTTTGGAGCAAATCAGTCTGAGAATTACGGTTACTACGACGGATTACAGCTCGAAATCATGGACCGGAACAGCTCATTAGAATTTTCAGAGATGAAAAAAAATTAAACTGAAAAAACACCTAGTGACTGAAGTTAAGCAAAATGAATTGTTTAAGCACCTGGCAAGTTAATCCCATCAAAAACTACACTTTCATTCTACATTTGATGCTCCTAGCCATTAAGGCTTTAGAGTTGAAATTACATGGCCTGAAATAAATGTTTAAATTCTAATCGACAAGTACACTGCGCAGAGAACGTGTAGGAGAGCATAAAATATGTGACAAAACATCGACGAAATTTGTTTCATTGTCAAAAAATACTTCCGATTCATTAATTAAAGTTTGCGAAATTCTCCAGTACACATTCATATCAATTCATACTTGACCTGGTAATACCAGGTCAAGTATGACATCTCTTAAAATATAGAAATATATCTAGTAAAAATGAAAATGTTGCTGGAATTATATGGTCTGCAACTAAATGGATGTTCATGTCATAAGCTTGACATATGAATTGTAATTTGACACATCCCTTTTCAGGATTTCACGCACCGGTCCCATTACACGTTCAAATCGTGCTCGATCTAATTTTACACATTTCAAAGGTGTTTTTGCGATTACGGTTGCAGCTCGAGGTCGATCTAAAAGCAGCGCTATCTCTCCTGAAAAAAGGAGAAGTAAAACTTGAAAGTAAACAAACGTTTAAATATCGGACAACAGACATAGCAAAGCATCAGCATTTGAAATAATAGCAATTTCGTCAAGAGACTTATAGGGACCGAACAAATTTTAAAAACTTGCCAAAATAATCCGATGAAGATAAATGTCCGACGATTTCAAAAGGTGCGTCGTCACTTCGCTTTTGCAACACATCTGCCTGTCCTTCCACAATGATGAAGAATTCATCACCAGGATGTCCCTTAATTTATAAAAACAAGTTCACTAACCTGTGAAGTTTAAATGGAGATACAAGCAAAAAGAACAATCTAAATCCCTCATTTTAAACAGTACGTAGGAATGCCATGTCTTGGGAAACAGTTCAAACTTGAAGCAAGTAACGTTCGAAACGGAATGAACGTTAAATTTATAATATTAATTTGTGCTAAATGTGGATCCTATAACTTAAAAGCTTACTGAGATGTTCTAAAGGAAAAAAGATAACTTATGGTTTAAAAAAAAGAAGACGGTAACTGCAAAGCAAACCTGTTCAACAACACGCGTTCCTGGTTCGAAATCGCATCTCTCTAAAGCATCAGCAACATTCGCTCGCTCCCATTTATCGAGATCAGCTAAACATTAATGGGGGCTTAAAACATAATTACAGACTGATGAAGTGACGAGGTATGAAATAAATATGGCAGGAATTTGAAAGGATTATAGAGAACAAATCAAATTGCAATTTTTCTCCTAAAATCTTAAACTTTGAAAGAACAATGCATAATATCTAAAATCTGTACACCACGTAATTCAAGCTATAAAGGAACAGTAGGCTGCCAGCTCATTCATATATCAGCAAGATAAAGCAAAATAAATAGAAAGGACTTACACAGTATTTGAACTTTCGACAGAAATTCATCATAGAGCTTCCTCTTTCGCATTGTGGATCCCATGAGGATCTGTCGATAGGTAATCCGATCAATCGCCCAACATTTCACCACATCAGACTTGGCAACCACCGTTGCTGCCCGCGGAGTTCCATAAATTAGAGCCAGTTCACCAAAACTACCACCTTCTTTAATAGATAATGCATATTCACCATTTACAAATACATCTACCTGAAAAAAAAAGAACAAAAGCATTGCTGAACAAGGCAGAAGGCAAGCCATCCAATTTTCATAAAATTTCAAAATGAAAAAACAATTAAACGCTATTTTTTGAGAGAACTGTGTAGAAATATCGGCTCATGCAATTTTTTACCATACCTAATCACCTCAGAGTTAGTACGCGAAAAAACTTTCAATCAAGACTAAAACAGAAAAAAACAATAAAAAAGAATCGATGATGAAGACCACATTTTAAGTTTTTCTTTTTTGCAACAGTAGATCAGACAAGGAGACACATCTGCTCACCAAATCAACTACTTTAAAAAGGTGTTTAGAAAACGTACTTCACCAGAATCAATCACATAGAAATTATCGCCTTCTTCTCCCTGCTCAATGATAGTTTCGCCCTTTTTCTTTTCAACAGGAAACATGGCATCAAATATAGCTTTTTGCTCGTCTCCCTGAAGATAACTTAGTTCAACTTCCGTAATACTATGTTCCTGTAAGTGCAAAAGTTATTTCTAGATTGCAAAAATTTGTATTCACAGATTCTAAAAGAATAATATATTATTCCTCTTCTCTTAATGAAACAAAAAAGAAATCTCATTTTTCACAACTAATAATTATAATTCGTGATAGAAAATTAGTTATAACTGAAGTTATAAATAAATGATGGTGTAGTTCTTTTTTATTCCATTAGTCTGAGGTTAAAATTATGACCCTTTTCATATGATTCAACGTATGACTTCCTTTGAGTTGCATTGTATTACAACTTGTTCCAGCGATAAATATGAGTGGAAACAGAGTCTCATTGCTTTAAAACATAGAGAAGTAGCAAAGTGTTAAGCTTGCTTAATGCTCTAACCTTTTTCTCAAAAGACTTCTGACTCATTACTCAAAGATAACGTGGAAATAAAATTCTAAATCTTTCTGGGTACTCAAATGAAGAGTAATGGAAATATCTGAATGTGTTTCAAATGTATGAAAAAGGAGAATAAATGCATAAACAAACTTCAAGATGTGAAAAAAGGATATTTCTGCACATTGCTGCTTCCAATGCCCTTCGAGTTTCATCATCTTTAGGTATCACCACCTTATCATAATTTGCGGCTTCATTTTCATCGGGTACCTATAAAAGTCCAAAATGGAGACGAGCAGTTTTTAATAACAAACAACTTTTGCAATCGGAAAAAATCTACAAATCCTGCACCTTAGTTAAACCAAAAACAGTGCAGCTTGATAACTGCTGCTAACAAAAGTTGACAAAAAACAAACCTCTGCGCTAACTGCAAGGCGTCGCCGATTTCCTTGTTGTATTTTCGGAGGTTCATCAATAGTGTCGTCATCATCTGTTGCTTCTACTCGTGGACTTGACAACTGTAAGTACACTAATAATAAAAATCCACAATTAGTAAGAAAATTGAACCAATGTGCCGAACAAAAAGTTCAGTATCGTAAAAAATTATCCACCACTACTTGATGCTGTTTGCACTTCATTTTTGGATTTTATTAGCGAAGCAAATAAGGAAGGAAAGGAAATGTACCACAAGAGATTTGTCGTTGAGCTTCTCGCTCTCGATAACATTAGCAGCACCGGTAGGGTCAGTAGTAATAGAGGTTGCAGATGTAACAGAAGCAGCAGTAGCAGCAGTAGCACCTGTGCTCATGTTGCGACGCCTTTTCAAGCTCAGATGCTGTCCCATTTTCAAAATTAGTAATCTGAAGGATGCCTACATCAACCACAATTGGGCAATCTAGAAATGCGCCGACTGACCGACTCTCATGTGCGTTTTCGCCGTCACTCTTGCAGTAGTTGCCTATGTGTGTACGTGAGTGCACCCGAACCCTCACAGTGATCGTTAACAGCAGCAAATAATGTTTGAGGGTAGAGCAGTATCAAAAAACGAGAGTGGCAGCAACTGCATAGTATAAAGTAATGATCAATGCAGCATTTGCCTTCCCATTTCATTCTATCTTTTTCGAAGCACACAAGCTCCCTCTTCCATCTATTACATATACAGCCTCGCTCTTTTCCTTTTCCCTTCAATTGTGTTTTCTATCTCAGTGGAGTAGTAGGCAGTTGAGAAAATGGACAACATAAAGCACCAACGAGCAGTTTTATCTATTTCAATTCAAATATGTGCTCTTATAGTAATGCAAATCTATACTACAAACCAAATACATATATACTTAAAATATGCACTTGATGAAATGCAAACCTCGTCTGTTTTCAAAAACACTGAACGTCTAGTTATGAGAACAGTCTCTTCCTTCTTTTTTTCCTGTCACCTTATCAGTTGGAAATTCACAATTACCTAACGGTACTACAATGTGATTCACATGAACTATATTTCATGTCCACATATACTCACAGGTATAAATCCACACGCATAACGCAACCAAACATATACCATTTGCTTTTATGTGAGCTTCACAAAAAGTTCATTTATATTTTCTGAAATTAGGTGAAAAAGAAACCTGAACGTTTAATTACCATTCAGAGTAAGAAACTAGTTCCCAGGTTACCATATTTTTCTAACAGCGGTGTTTTATCGAAAATCCTCTTAAAGACAAAAACAGAAAAACAAACATTCACATTAGACAATTTCGACAGTAAAATTCGATTATTCAAATTATGAGGCATATTTATATGACTTTTGCAAATTAAACAAAACGTCTCCGAAAAATGTCACATACGTCACATACATAGGTGAAACAGATAGTTATAAAACTACTCAAAAATGCACTAAGAAGCAAAAACAACAAAGACCAAACTAAACACGTAAAATTATCTAAGATGGTATCTAAACACGTTAATCAAAGGACCAGTAATCTACTGATATAAGTACTTTCAACAAGCTAAAAAAGATACAGGGTAATCACTAAATACTTCATCCACCTGTTTTCTTTTTTTTTTCCAACTGAATGCTCTAAGCAAACGAAAAATATCGCCAGGTACAGTGCAGCTCTTTTTTGAAATAGCATATTGCAATAAAAACAAAAAAAAAAAATGCCTCGAATAAAGTAGCATACTTTTTATCTCAATAGCGTATAAAAGCTTTACGCATCAGCCAATGAAAATCTCGAAGAGATAATATGACTAAAATTTGTCCCCTTATGATCCCTAACAGAAAACAGCTATTCAAAACTTTTAGTCATTGAAATTTCACCACAAATAACCATCAATTCAGACTTTTTTCTTACAGTACGTTAACAACAAACTTTAATATCAAATATTAAAGAACATGCCTGAGATCGTTGATCATAGAGCTTTTCGAAATGTTCCTTGAGAAATAAGATCGGATTTTCAGGTTTGTTTATACACAAGCTAACAATCGCTTCTTTGACCAATTGCTGGATGTTATGCCGTTGCACATACGCTTGGCATTGAGCTAGTTGCGCCTCTTCACTACTGCCCCCGGATGCCATATCCAAAGTAAGTTAAAATTGAAACAAATTTTTCATCATAGCGAATCAAAACAAGATCACGTCATCAGAAAATAAACGAATGACTATAGTAATACACTTTCACAATCCAGCCAGTAATGTTTCGTGCATTTCTAATTATCTAATTCAGTTACTGCACTTAATAAATTTGAAAATCTTTTTTTTCGACTTCACATCTGCGAAAAAAATTTACCAGTACTGGATCTCTTACAGTATCCAACAAAATTCTAAGAAACAGTGAAAGTCACTGTGACGAAGATGAAGATAAAGTAAACTCCTCCATACAAAAAAAGTGTCAATTTCTCGTTAGAAAATACTTGCGTACTATCTAAATAATTTTTAAAATCCAAGTAAACTAAATAATGCTCATTCATGAATCAACATCAATGTAATATTTTCCAGATCCTTTTCCGAACATAGAAGATCTAAGTTTCATGAACAATTCCAAAATAATACAGGAGTATCAAAAAAATCTCTAAAAATGGATAAATATATAAAGGGAACCTATTTACGTATATGTTATCCAGTTTGTGTAATCTCTGATCGCTGCTCTATATTACGATTTTAATACGAAATGTGGACTAACTTTTCAAACTAAACTAAATGCTACAAATTTCATAGCGTTCAACACCATAGTTGGTTGTCACGTAAAACTCAGCAACCCCTAAAGGAAACTCACGATGCCAGCAGCTCAATCATTTACTTTGACCTAGTATGACCCGAGCAGTTAACATGCCCTCTTGAACTAGCCGTATAATATCTAGAAATGAGAAAATTAAGAAATGTTTGAAAAAAAAATGAAAGATATGGAAACAGCTATCTTTTGAGAAAGCAATGAGAATGGGTGCAAAACATGGAACAATGAACAGAGAGAGCGAGAAAGGAGAACGAAGCTATTTTTGGTCCAGAATAATTTACCTTTATCAAATCTCTCACATCCATCGGCAAACAAATATGACAAAAACATGAACGTCTATATGTTTCATGCGTTTCACAGATTCATTTTTTAATTCATCCCTTTATATGACCCTTAACGACTGAGAAAAAAATGTTTGTCCAGTTTGATGTTGAATTACTCATCAACAGTATTCACGACGACGAGACTCCTATCACTAATTCTGTCATGAGATTTTTTTTAGGAAATCTAAAATGGCTTTCCTTGTTTTTGCAGTGTTTCGTTTTGCTTTTTCTACAGATATCTCTTCCTTAATACCACCAAAAGATTTAACAAAGAAAATCAGTAAATCGCGGAAAAGATATTCTCATGCTCTCTGAAACAAATCAATACAGAACATTTTCAGTTCGTTTCAATATTTTTTGAAATGGAAATTAAATATGACCTATGACTTTATCTGTAATATACACAAACCAGAAATACATATAATAGTTAAAAACGAAGAATCCCAAAGACAAACATCCCTTAATGGAGATCTGATAATTCTAATTCATTTAGAACTAAGCTGTGTGAATGTGCCAGTGAACAAAAAGATCACCCGATAATCATGGATTCTTGACAGTTGTGAAGAATTAGTCATTTGGTTAATATTAGCAAAATCAAAATTACAAAACCTTGGGTGGTGCAAATGTTACCTGATAAAAAATACGCGCCTCATCGTAACATTGTTATAGAATCACAATGATGGGTATTTTTAAACAAAGCGACAAAACAAAAACATATTATATATTGAAGCGATCCAAAAAATCCAAAACCCAATTAGTGAATGAATGATTTGATAAATGGTACTTGCTAGTGATAGCAATCAACCACTTACACCTGACCTGTTACGATATGAAAGGACGACAACAATATCATCCATTTTCAATGGCATTTTTAAATAAATAATGAAAATCTGAACCAATTTACGTTATCACTGTCATTCTAGCAAATGCGCAAAATCGGTCGAAGCATACTTTCTTCCAGACATCAGTGAATTGATTAGTAGCTACAGAAAGTCCCGCCTGTAGAAGCGTGTTCAAGCAAAGAAATTAATGAACTGCAGAACAGCCCAAATAACACAAAATAAACAATACTAGTTTATATCTGTGCATTTCAAAGCTATAACGGGGCCGATGCAGAACTTTTATAGAAGAGATCTATCAATCCAAATCAGATCAATATCACAAGAAAGTCATCTATCAAGCTTCTTTTTTTGAAAAGTATTTCTTCATAACAAGAAAGTGAATTAAGATAAAGTAACTGCTCTCTCTCTCCTTGTTCACATCTTTTCTATGTATATGCTTCCTTAAAAGGTATTACATATATTTCTTCAATGAGGTTTCCAACGGTACTCAGGTAAGTATAAGTGAAGAAGTAACTGTATTTGAACAGATGACTGAATAACCAAATCATCCTATATTATATAAAACATATCACTCCTGATGGATGGCAAGCAAAAAGTAAGACACGACAGGACCTTCAGACTTAAGTGGAAATAATCAACCAAAATAATCTCCCCTTATTTCCTCATGTACCTCAAGACTATGCAGAACAGATTTGCTCCACTTAATAAGCCTTCTATTTCATGCATTCATACTGCATACCACTACATTTTGTATATTAGTGCCCCACTATAATTCCTCGACTATCAATTCGCCTTATTTGCAACGACTATGAAATGATGTCAAAGCTATGCATCCGCATTACTACCCATTTCCAGACGATTCTATTATGCGACCCACCCACCAGTAATCGGTAACGATTCGATGTCACCCCGTCCGCTGTTCGTAGGGGATATTCTGCGTACTTCATATCAGCACATCCTAATGCTCAAAGTGAATAGAAAATGCTAATTAATGCGTATTAGGGGTATATGTGCTGTAATCGATTAGATGCAGATAAAAGATCGATCAATAACAAGATAGACTGAAAGGGAAGAGAGGAGTCGAACAATTAAGAGTAATGTTATGAGGAAGAAAGTGAACCAAATTAAAAGGTATGGCCTAGCTGACTAAAGAACGAATAAAGCACAAATCTGTACTGCAATGCAAATATTATTGTGGTAGAAAGAGACATAATGTATATGAAACGTGGAACATGTATAATAAGCTGGTACATGAAACAAACTAGACTGCAATAATCATTACAGTCATAGAAAGGAAGGAAGGAAGAAGTGGGGTGAATGAGAGGTTGGCAAATGGAGTGAGTGAGGGAAGGATGTTAGACATAGTTTACACGTTTGTTGATTGGATAGCATACAACCGAGAATGCATGTCTATGGAACAGATGAACGGATGGGAAGAGGAGCATGAAAAGAAGATGACAGAAGGACGATATGAACGACACGACTGTAGCAATATCAACTACTACTCAGCCTCCTGTACCAAACATCAATTAGGAAAAAAGAAGGAAACGCTCTCGAGCGTTTCTTGCAACAACCGCTCCTCACTTACACAATCACTCATTTTAGATCCTTCCATTACAAACCAGCTCTCTTTCTCTCTCTCTTCCTCTCTTTCCTCTTCTTACTTATTGCCGGAGGCTGTATGTATGCACAACGGCTACTGCCATTAACAAAGTCGCTGAACCAAATTGAGCAGCCACCCATACTAGCCGTGAATTTATACAACCCTCTCATATATACATGCACACACACAACTGATAAACATGCACACATACAAGTTTCTCATATTAGGCAGCGCAGCTTTGCTATCTGTCAACGAAATGAATGTGTGTGTGTGTGTGTGTGTGTGTGTGTATGAGTACGTATATTGATGGGAGTTGTTGCTATTGAATGTAGAGATAAATACAAACATCAGTGCCGCAGTTTTACGAATGGTTTCAATCCAAAACCAATTAGAGTATTGAATGCAGTACTGACAAGGGAGTTGCATATTTGTCAACTTATCTGATGGATCCGTTGAATTTCCTGAGTGAGACTTGTTTTGTCTGATGACATCACACGACGAAATTCCCAATTTAAAGGTAATAATCGTTTGTTACAAGTAAGGAATTGAGTGAAAGCTGAAGAAAGCATTGTATCGTTCAAATGCGCCGATATGAACTTTTTTTTTGTTAGCTATTTGCAGCATTTAAAAAATAAGTAATATAAGTTATTCAGAAGCTATTGTTTAGGATTCCACATTAGTTCTTGGAAAGAATCACTCATGCTTTCGTGCATTTCAAGTCTGTGAAGGCTTGGCTAAGACAAAATTTCATCAAAGAATGATCTGTGAATAGCCATTTAGCGAAGGCAGTGCCATTAGCGCATGATGTTTAAATTATCTCCATGTGATCTTCTTTGGTCATTCTAAACATTTTTTAAGACGTTCCTTATGATGAAGTAATGCCCAATATCTTAACAATATCACTTTCGTACATACAAACATTTCCACATTGATTGACAAAACGAAAGACAAAAGAGACAAATACCGCATGATGAAAGCATTTACCAGCTGAAACATTCCAACTACTTTGTTCGCCACATAGATGTAAAATTTTATTTATCAATCACTGCTTGTCACGTAAAACTTTGTGTTGATTGTTCCTTATATCTTCGAAATATCAAACCTTCCACGCACCATTTTTTTTATTTATTTTATTCGCTAGTTATTTATACATGTTTATACATGTTTGCTGTTTAAAATTTGGAACTGACGCTTATTATAATGCGAAATTTTGAATCATAACCATTCATTGTTTAGCGAAATTTTTTCATAATGTCCGTCTTCAATTATGAACAATAGTTTATAGGAGAGTTTTGAGGGAGCTATTCATGAAATTTCGAAGAATATCCCTGAAAAAGTTTAATTACTTCGGAATTCAATTCAATCATTACAGATGCTCCCAAGCATTAGCCTTCTAAATTACTCTGTGGAATTCATTCATCATTCTTATATTGCTACGTTAAAAAAATCTATTGCTACGTTAAAAAAAATCTTTTTAAGGCTTACTCTTTAATCTTATCCTTTGTTCGTAACTTCCTCCGATACAAATGTATGGATATTCTTGATTGAAACCCTTACCTTTAAATTGCAAAGACTTT